TGTTTGGCAAGGGCTGATGAAAAAGCTGATGTCCAAAAGGTTTAGAAGGCCCCCAAATATCTACTCCAACCCTATCATATTGTTATGGGTCATTAGAGATGGATGGCACCTCTGTGATAGATTTGATTCACCCTAGGTGGGGAGAAGTGGTGGCTCTCCAGATGTGCCAGAATTACAGTTCTAGCTCCTCTTATTTTGGTTAGGATTGTCATTCACCAGCATCTGGAGTGACACAGATGGCCCACCTTTGACTGCATGGCACCCTTACCAGTGATGAACAGAATGATGGATTACTCCATTATGCCTATTGCCTTCGTTCACACCAACACATATATACTAAGGCCGTTTCCTCATTAGTGATTTACAGCATCTTCAGAGCATCACTCACCCATCATTGAAGAGATATAAAGCCTCTCCATATTACTCTCATTCTTGCACGTGGATGGTTGGATGGCTCTAGAAGACACCCAGTTCTTACTGGGTAAATTATTTAAACTAGCTGGATTTACACAATTGACTGAGCCACAAACTAGTCAACCACATGTTAACCCAACAGGCTGAGTCTGAGTTCACCACCTTTGGATTCCCAACAGATTCATGTTCCTCAACAGACTCTTAGGGAACAGATTTTTTTTTTGCAGAGAACCAAGCAGCTCTCCAATCATTTAAGCTGAATCCCTGCTGAAGCCACAGAACTCTAAGGTCCAACAGAAAATGGAAAATGGAGAAACATCAGCTCTTGTCTTGAATAATAGGAAGCACCATCTCCAAGAATATTCTCCAGGATCTAAAATGGGAATATGAGAAAAGTACTGATGGGCCTTCTTAAGAGACTATTTCTAACAATGACTGGACAAATATCTGTGGGAATGTCTTAGAACTTTCCCCAACCTGCATTTCCTTCAGATGTATAAACTTCAGCTCCCAGGATACTCAGCAAATCCACATATCTGGAGGACCCTCACAGTTGGAAAGGGTTTCCTAAGACCATGGGAGGCTATCTTAGAGTGAGATGATTCATCCATTGCCTGAAGCCATGGTCAGTTTAATAAGCTACCATCAGGTGGGTTCACATGTCATGCTAGGCCACCATGGTTCATAGACCAAAAGGGTTGGGTTCCGTTGGTGCTTTGCCTCAAACCAAACAAACCAGATTGTGTCCCAGAACGAAACCCATCACTGAAAGAGAACCGCATTTCAATTGACAGGTGAGATTTCAGGCAAGAATCTTTCCTAGCATTACATGAAGACATCTTAGGACTGAGCTGAGCTCTCTCGGCTCTAGGAGCCAAAGGCCTTATCCTTGAGGCATAGCACCCTGCATATAGGGAACTCAAGGCCGCAGCAGCTGAGTATCTCTTAATCTTGGCCACCGGTCCTAATGCTTGGAGAGGAGATCCAGGGTGGTGTGTTGCTGAAGGACTAGATGCCAGCCTAGTAGTTATCTCTTGGTTAACATGTTGGGTGAATGCTGCAATGACGTTTGGACCTCACAGGATAACCTGTGTGACTTGGCATATATTCCTGTCCGGGCACCTCTCTTCCTCCTTCGATTTTTCTCATAAATGATCAGCGCTTTTGAGCCAACTTCTGTCTTATCATCCCAGGGGCTCAAAAGCAGCAACCAGGGGTGGATGGAATGAGGGGCAGCTACTCCATCCTTATGTGTGGACCGGGCTTCCTCTTCTTGGCCTCCATGCAAGAAAAATCAATAGCTCCAATATGTTAGCACTCCAAATGAGCTCCAATATTACATGGCCATTAATCCAACAAGCACTTAGCTTGCTTCTGCCCATTAGACGGAACACCGGGTTGTAGCTTTCTACATGCTTACATTCACCGGCATTATAAAAACAAGGCCATAACAAGCGCATGAGACTCTGAGATGAGTAACGGAGGATCAAGCATGTTATTTGTACCTTTGAGACAGTCTTGACTCCTGGTAACTGCCTGGACAAGTCCCTGCAGTTTTCTTGGCAAGATTTTTGGAAGTGGTTTGCCATTGCCTGCTTCCTAGGGCTGAGAGAGAGGGGCTGGCCCAAAGTCACCCAGCTGGCTTCTATGCCCAAGGCAGGACCAGAATCCAGGGTCTCCCGGCTTCTACCCCAGTACCTTTAACCACTGGGTCTCCCGTAAGGGGTTGTTATTAGCAGGTTTGCACACTGTGCTCTGCCATTAGGTGGTTTGCTTTGATTGTGCTTGGATAAACCATTCATTGTGGATGGTAATCCATGATTTATTGTATTGTGCAAACTCAGAAAACTATGGTTTATTAAAACTATGGTTAGGCAAATATAGTTTAACTGATGTGTGAACCCAGCCACTTTTTCCCTTCTCTTTCTTTCATTTCCCCCAGAAATGGGCATTTCAAGACCATCCTTTTACTCTGGAAGCCAACAGGGTCTACCTGAACACATAATTCATATAATTAATTAGAGGAATTATATTAACAGGGATCATGCATCAAGTAAGCCATGTTTTTTTTAACTAGGGCTTGTTGAACATAAAAGAGCAACCTGGTAAACACATGTTATAAATCATGGTTTACATTCCTCAGGTGCTGAATTCATGTATTGGACAATAGGTGAACCATGAAGGTTTCAAAACTATGGTTAAAAGTATGGTTCAGTGAACTCACCTTATGTATTATCACTGACAAATTCCAGCTAAAAATGGTCCAAATTGATTCAGGAGCTATGGGACAAGCCAACAGTATTAGAGTAGGGTTTCTCAACCTTGGAGTCTTGAAGATGTGTGGACTTCAACTCCCAGAATTCCCCAGCCAGCCTGTCAGAAGCAAGCAAACACAAGATTCTGGCTAGGTTCCCAAACTGTGGTTTTGATTGGTTGAAGGTAAGGTAAAAACCCAACTCTACTGATTTGTAGGGGTTGCACTTCCTCATGCAAGACTGTTGTGCAGTCTGGGTGTCCTCTTGGACTCACAGCTCCTCCTCAAAGAGCAAGTGGCAGCTGTGGCCAAGTGGGCCTTTGCACAAGTTCACCCTGAGCACCAATTGTGCCATTTCCTGGACCAGGAGGCCCTTCAGACAGTCACTCACACCCTGGTCACTTCTCGATTGGATTACTTTAATGCACTGTACATGGACCTGCTCTTAAAGAACACTCAGAAGCTACAGCTGGTCCAGCATGCAGCAGCACAGGCAGTGATGGGTTTGTTGCAGTATGCACGTATATCCCAGGTGCTTTGCGAGGTATATTGGTTGCCAGTTGGCTTCCAAGTGCAGTCCAAGGTGCTGGTTATCACCTATATAGCCCTGTATAGCATGGGGCATGGTTTCCTGAGGGACCACCTGTCTCTAGTTGTTTCTATCCATCCAGTGAGGTCAGCTAGAGTGGGCAAGTTCCAGGTCCCATCAATTAAGCAGTGTCATCTTGCAGGACCCAGGAAACCTACCTGCTCAGTGAGGGCTCCTATAGAATGATACCCCCAAAAGATTCATAGTGCTCCCACCCTTCTGACTTTCCACAGACTGCTGATGGGCTAGGATGGGGATCAAGCCCCTTTGATTGGTTATTGGCTGCTTGGTTTGGGGGAGTTTTGGTCTCCAGGCTCCAGTGAGTTGTCTTCTTTTTCTTCTTGTTGTATTGTTTCTTTTTAATTTTTATCTGTAAGCCCCCCAGAGTCACCACTGAGTTGGGCAGTCTTGAAACTGAAATAATAAACAAACATCTCATGACAGAGCATGCTGTGAGAATCAACCATGGTTGATTCATAATTAAACACATCATGGCTTAGCACAATGCATGAATGCAGCTACATTCTAACAAGGCTCAGGTGGAATCTGAGAGCAACTTCAATTCCTTCCCAGCCTAAACCTGCCGTTCTGTCTGCGTACTTTCTAGATATGTGGATTTCATCTCCAGAATTCTCAACAACAGCCACGTTGATGGAGAAATCCTACAGTTGAAGCCCACACATTTGGAAGGCAACCAGCTTAGCAAGGCTGTCCTAAGATCCAGTATTCCATCCTGACGGTAGATATAGTCAGTCCAGAACTGGAAGGTTCTTCTTTTAATTGAAGCTTGTCTTGATTGGGGATAAATTCTAGTCCCTTCTTAGGTAGATGACTTTTTCTGACCCAGAAGCTGCTCCCCTCTCACTGTTTCATCAGACCCAACAAGCCACACTTCCCAGTGGTTTACCAAACTGAATCAGGGGAGTCACTACAACATCACTCAAGCCACCCTAGAATCATGATTAGTTACTCTCTAACACAATTACATGCTTAATCACTTTAGAGAATAACACTGCACGACTGAAACAAAAAAATACAGTTCGTTAAGAGTACTGATGGATCTAAACCTGTGGTTAAAATGACTACATTCAGAAATTTGTGGCAAAAGATCATCTTCCAAAAATCTGGGCTATGAATCTGAGATCCCCCATTTCAAGATTTTATAATTGCAGCCTATTGACCACCACTTAGACTACAACCTCCATCATCCCCAGCCAGCTGGGCCCATAGTTCCAGGTTCCTCTTGGTTGAGAGGTGGTGGTCTGGGAAACTCCAGGTTAGGGAAGGCTATTTTAGATTGTTGTAAACTGAGAATAACTTTCCACAACCTCCTGTGGGGACTTTGGTGGTTTGCAGAAAGTTTATGCTGTAATAAATGTAATTAGTCCTCACTTACTGCTAAACGATGCTTGGAGCAGTATAAATACTTAGTGACCTCTGCTGTCTAGGATCAGAGCTACACATTGTAAGACACCAGGGTTATGAGATTCCACCACTAGTCTTGCATACAGACATTCATTAGCTCAGCTTGAATGGCCAAATGGCTTTTGGTCGGCCGCCATTTCCTTTGCCATAAAGTAGAATAAAAATTGACTTTTCTATGCTTGTTCCGGCTCTTTCCTGCCATGTTTTCAAGTGTTAATTGCTGTGTTGTTATACCCAAGAACATCCCTCCTCTTAGTATTTGATCAGAATAATGTAATAGAAGAGAAGAGAAGACTCCAGACTCTTTCTCATGTTGGAACTCAGCTTCACTCCATTGTAATGTCAGAACTGTGGTAGGCAAACAGAAGTTTTAGATATATGCTCCTTTTTAACCAGCAATCAGAACCGTCCCGCAGATGAGCCATAAAGAGCCAAGTGTAGTCCCACAACATTTTTTTCTCTCTCTCCTGCCCCCAGTTCTCTGGTAATGTGGTATTTTCCCCCTTCTTCCTGGAACAATTAAAAACCACAAATAAGTCTTGCTGAATGTGTGTTATTTCCTGAATGTTGAACATTTGATAGCAGTTGTATGAAAACCATCTTTCTCTGGTACTATCTGGTGGAGATGGACTACAACTTCTATCATTCCAAATCAGCAGGATCACTGGCGGGGAATGATCGAAATCTGAGCCAAGAAATAGCACGAGAGGGACTATCCCATAGCATAGTATAAAATGATCCTAATGAAAGCTTACATGCTACATGCTATCTGCACAGATTTCTGCTGAATAGAGTGAGACATTTATTTGTTTGTTTATTGAATGCATATGTCTCTGAATCGACTTAAGCCATGAGGAATTTGAGTCAGTTCAGGAACGTACACATTTAATAAACAAACTAACAAACAGATAGATGTATTAAAACATTAACATTCCCAAACAATCTAGGAAAATGACAGTCAATAAAAGAACACACAACTTAACATAGCTAGATGGATGCAATGACATGCAAGGAAGCTAGAAAAAAAAAAAGAAAAGAATCATTTCCATAAGCAGCTATGGAAAATTTACAACATAAACTTATTTTGGGTTGCAAATCCTGCCCCATCTTACCAATCCTTAGTCAGTCCAAGAGGCTAAGGAAGTGCCAGAGATCAGACATGGCTGGCCAGATCGTTCCTAAGGGTGAGAAGAGATTTAGAACTTCCAAATTTTTTATTGGTTTATTCCACAGATCTGTATATTATCAGATTCCATCCTAACTTACAGCAGTTAACTTTAAATACCAAATTCCAGTTTGGTATATACAGGCTTTTTCTTGCTGTGAGGCATTGAAAACCTCTTTTTTCGGGCAGATTTGCTCCGTTGTAACCTTTTAAGTTCCACTTCACTCATAGCCATGAATGAGATTAGCAGAAGACCTGGTGGTGGTGCTCATCCAACATAAAAAGCCTGGTGAGCTGAATTTTGGGTAGCTCTTTGTTGCTTAGCAGATTGTGGAAACCCAGCAGGTTGGGGAGTTAATGGGTAATGTCTTGCATGAACCCAGAACATGGGGATTCAATAAAGTGTGTTGTGTGAATGCAACCAAGAAGCTGACTTACAGATTCTGGCCAAGTCAACATAACCTAAACTATGGTTGTATGATTTATTAAATCAGTCATCATTGGCTGACTTCATAAAGTACACTAAGCCAGTGTTTCTCAACCTTGGCAACTTTAAGATGTGTGGACTTCAACTTCCAGAATTCTCCAGCCAGCATGGTGGCTGGAGAATTCTGGGAGTTAAAGTCCACGCATCTTAAAGTTGCCGAGGTTGAGAAACACTGCACTAAGCTATAAACTCTGGTTTACAAATCACAAATACCAGGATTCACACAACATCTAAGCCTGAACCAAAGAAACCAGAGTTTGGCTAGTTGCCCAAACTCACTCCATATTAGAGTGGGTAGCCTTGTCATACAGGCCCTATTTCAACATGCTCTACATGTTATTCAACTCCACTTCCCACCTTCCCCAGCCGACCTCACAAAGCTTAATACGAGCCCCTGCTTACGGGCCAACAAGGCCCATCTCAGGCCCAGGGCCGAACTACAACTCCCGAAAGCCTCTGCGCGGAAGGCGCCTCTCCGCTCCCATCTTGCCCCACGAGCCGACCTCCTTTCCCAGCGTGCCTTGCTTGACCAAGGTGGAAGTGACAGAACGCGGCGACGTCGTCGTCGTCGTCTTCTTCTCCTTTCTCTCGTCCCCTCGCCCGCTCCGCCCTCTTTCCTCCCGTCGTGCCTTGCGGCGGCAGGCGACGCCAAGAGGCCGTTGGACCCGCTCGCGCCCGGGGCCCGCGACGGGGCCCCCCCCCCCCCCGCGAGGTTTCCAAGGAGACGCGAGTCCCTCCGCGGCCGCCTCG